ATCTCTCCTTGTGTGTGTGTGTGTGTGTGTGTGTGTGTGTGTGTGTGTGTGTGTGTTTACTTTAATTATTCAGTGAAAGGATGAACAGGCTGCTAACAGGATGTGGAAATGACTGATTATTGTAATAAACACAAACACAATCTTTCAATTATGTTGTTTTTTGGAGAGCAGAATGAAGCGCTGATGTTCACTTACTTCATCCTCCTGTCTTTAAATCTCCAAGATGATGGGAGATCTGACTGTCATAATTAGCTCAGGTTAGATTTATGTAATGATCTTGTCGTTGGTTTAAATGTATACAAAAACAAAGTCGAGACCATTTACATATACGTTAGTGTGGCGTCCAGGATGCTTGGTGTGTTTATACAGTTTGATACTTAATGATGCATGTTTAAATGTTCCTTACTGTTTAAGAATTTATTTCATGATGAAACTTTTTTCATTGGTAATTACAAACTTGTTGAGCATGTTTTGTAAAGATGGGATCCTGATTCTTTATACAGTTGATGCTCGTGATAATATTTAGAAAAACTGAACCACAAGGAGGTGAAGCTGACACGTTTCCAAAATGAGTGGAAAATGGGAGTTGGGAAGGGCTAAAAACTTGGCATCCTGCCTTCAGGCCTGGAAAACAAAGATGAAAAGTGATGATAAAAGGCAAATCTGTAGTGAAGAACCCAGTGAGCGAGCTCACAGTGGCTAACTCCGTCTTCCAAATCCGATTTGTTTAACAGAAAAAACAGGCAGCATGTTAAGGTTGTTTGTTTACAAAGCTCTTAGAATTTTAGACTAAAAATATTCCTTCATATGTTATTTTGCAACAGATGAGACATGGGCATTTGATTAACCTGAATGGATTACTAATATTGCAGGTAATAGAATAAGCTTTTGGACCTCACAACAAAGAAAGCTTTTTCTATGACACATTTAAAAAATGTTATCATCGCCCATAAGTACTAAACTTACTTTATTAGAAAAGCAAAAATAAAATATCAACAAACTGAAAAAAAATTGTTTATGAACTTAAATTCTGCTTGGAACAAATTTAAAGTCATTTAAAGGATTTATACTTCTCACCATTTTAGTTATTTTGTTAACTTCTAATTTGACTAGAAATAAATTATGCTATTTTCCTTTACATAGGACAAAGATAGCATCCTTTCATGATTGAGTTAGAAACAAATTTCCATTCCAACTTTCTTATCATAAGTTGTTAAACAACTAAACAAAAGAGCAGCTTGAAAATCAGTTTAAATGATTAGTTTCTCTTTCGACTTCAAACATAACTCGTTGTGTTGTGAAATGTTTTAACTTTGTAGGAAGGTAACCAAGTTCAAACACAATAAACTTTTTTTTTTTTTACCCATCATCAACGTTAACTGGACAAAGGATAAATGTTGGGGTCTCAGCTGCCAGATTTATGAGAAACCTTTAAAATTTTGGAGATCTTTATACACAGATTCACTCTAAAGCCGTGGTACTCGCTCCTGGTCCTCGAGAGCCAGTATCCAGCATGTTTTATCTTTATCCCTTTGTTAACACACCTGATTTCAATCAGCAGGTGATTAACAGGCTTCCGAAGAGTTTGATGAGCTGCTGCAGGTGATTTAACTGCTGAATGCAGGGTCACTGCAACCCTCCAACCCTCAATGCTCCTCCCCCATCCACACTGAGGTGACATGCGCTGCTTATCGTGGCTGCGGGAACTGAAGTAGGGATAGTCCCAACCCACCACCCCACCTTCAGGACACTTATGTGTTGTCTGAAGTCTGTTGCATATCTGTCTGAGGTGTTTTTTTTGCAGAGTAAAGCTGCCCTCCCGGTGGAGGGTACCTCTGAAGTGCCTTTTTTTTTCCCTCCACCTGAACCAATCCTCATGTAGCCCTCTGATCTCTATTAAGGTAGCGAGACTCAGGGTTGCGAATGACCACAGTCACCAATTCTTGTCACGTGTCTTGCCCATGTATGTCTGATCTCTGAATTGTATGTACTGAAACTCTAATTTCCCTCTGGGATTAATAAAGTATCTTTGATTTGGTTTGATTGAATCAGGTGTGTTGGAGTAGAGGAAGAAGGACAACATGCTGGATACCGGCTCTCCAGGACCAGGGGTGAGTAGCACTGCTCTAAAGGTTTATTGAACAGCTCCATTCAACCAATCATGTATGCTTTGGGCCAGATGCAGTGGAACAGGTGTGTTGACACACCTGATTTCAATCGGTGGCTGATTAACAGCCTTCTACCTGCTGAACAGGTGATTCTACCTTTGAATCAGGTGTGTTGGAGCAGGAAAACAACTAAAACATGTTGGATAGCAGCCATCAAGAAACAGGGTTGACCTCTGAACTAAAGATGCATAAAGATAATAATAAAATTAACTAATTTTTATTATTTCACAGTTACACATTGGGGGGGGGGGGGGGGGGGGGCAAGATGGAGTCATTTCAGAGCAGAGCTCTCCAACCCCGTGTCATTGAGACCCTCATGGGATCCAGCTCTGCAGAACACCGTTAACTGTCACTTATAAAAGCCAGGCATGTCAGAGCAGGGAAACAATAAGAAGCATGTTAGATAGGGGATCTTAAAGGTGTGGAACACTGAAAGCCTATTTTTTAATGATTATTTCTGATTATAATCGGTCACTGAGTTTTTCACTAGAATTTGAAAAGCCTGACAGATCTACGATGCACTGTCACGCAACAAAAATCCATCTCAACTTGCAACAGGAAAGGTTGGTGTTAACCCTTTGGCGTCCACGAATAAGTAGAGAACGTCTAGTTAGTAGAATTTAACTGTTAGCATTAAAACCTTCCACGCATAGCAGAAGCTCCTCCAGACTTGTGTTTTTTGTGGAGATAAAACATCCACGTGGCAAGTCAGTGGTGCTGTTTTTCACTCCCAGGTGAGTTGTCCAAAACCTGCGGTCTGCTGCTCAGCTGTGATGTGGGTCACTGCTAGTTCCTGGAAACGGTGCACCAGTATACCACCCATCCTGAGTACAACTAGAATCAGGGATAGCATCTTTGTAAGAGCCATCACTGTAGTTAACCCTCTGGAGGCAGGCGTTGCAGATTTGCAACATTAAAACCTACCTACCTGGTTACTCCACATAAGTGTTTCATGAGCATTTTTTCACTCAGAAGTACCCCTGAAGGACTTAGTTGTTCATCCTTTTATCTAAACTTATTTTGAGCCTGAGAGGGTTAACAACCACAAAACTAAATGGTCCTGTAAACCCGAACTACACACTGACCATTTCCCGAACCACACGTTTGCTGTTTCTATATTGATCATGTCCAATAACATTCATATTTGCTATTTGTGTTTACTCTATATGCTAACATTCAGCTTACAATAGTGACCTGCACAGAACCCAACTAATGCTGCTACATCACAAATGCTGCTACTCTGTGTACATATCTGTAAATGCTACTGTTGATTTTACATTTAATTTATTCAGTGTTATTTTCCTGTATTCTTTTACAATTAGCACCAAAGGGAATGGCACTCCAATTTCACTGCACCTTGTACAATGACAGTAAAGGCAATTCTGTTCTATTCTAATTTACATGGCATTCATTCCTACTAGAGACCACTGCAAATGTATTGATTAAACAAGGGAACAATGCCTTTAGGAACCAGGGATGGAGAGGCGAGCTTAGAAAAATACCTTAGTTCCTAGTGGGTCGAAGGGTCGTGTGTTCAATTGCTGCTGTCCTAAAATGTTAAATACATTAAAACGTATCTTGTAAAATTTCTAGCAGTTTAGATTGTGCATGTTTTACACCATCATTCATTTGACATCACATTGTTAATCCACCAGAAACACAATTATATTCATGCTGAGAGTGCTACAGGCTCCACCGGAGAATGCTGCTGCTGTTTGGGCTGCACAACGAATTCAGTTCAAACAAGTTTTTTTAAACTAAGTTGGAATAGAATAGAATAGAATAGAATAGAATAGAATAGAATAGAATATCCCGTCAAGGCTGTATCAGAGACCAGGGGTGTTTCTCAATGCCATGGAACCTTGTCTTGATGTCTTGGTCCTGCCCTAGTTGCCTTTGAGATACGTCATCAGGAGCCACCAAGACGTGTTCCAATGTTCATGTTCTACCGAGGCGTGTGCTCTCCATTTTTTAGCCGTTAAGCTAGCTGAGCGAGGATACACGGGAAGTGTCTTGTAGCCTAGCCTTGGTCAAAAATTACCCAGAATACACCGCAGTATTTTCAAAAGGACGGCAGATCAGAAGCCGGCAGCTACTTCAGGGGCAATTTTCAAGCTTAAAAGTAAGTCAACTAATTAAAATGTTTGTTTTTTTTAGATCCAAAGAAATTATCTATTGTTGGGCAGTTGCTTAGTAGTTGCAGCTTGGGTGGCTAGCGGGTAGTAACTCACTTATATTTTTTATTTAATAAACATATACACAATTTAAAACGTAAAAGTCTCGTTATATATTTATATTGAAACAAATATGCATAAAATATAACGTTGTCTCCCGTGTCACATGACATTACGTGACCGCCATGGAAGCCGTGGTCACGTGATGCAAGTCTGTTCCATTTATCCATTTTCTTTGACCAAGGAAGGACAGTATCCTCTTAAGCAAGGAGCCTGGCCTCGCAAGACACCCCCTCACAAGGCCAGGAGCCTTGACATTGAGAAACACCTCAGGTTTGTTTGTTATTTGTTTCTGAAGGTCTTTGTGTGATTAAAATATCATTAATCTGAAACAGTTTTAGGACAAAATGAAGGAAATAAAAAAGAAGTCTTGGTTATTGCCACTTATGAATCATTATGAAGAATGACATGACGGTTATGATGATGTGTCACACACATCAGAGCTTTATATTTCTAAAATTAACACACGATCTAAAATTAAGCTGCTGATTTTTTTACATTAATTAACACATGTAACCAACATGAAGGCACTGCAATAAAAATCAAACCGAAAATAAGAGCTTCATTCTTGTAGAAAATACAAGTATGCCTCCCAAAGTTTCCTAAAATAATTTATTTCCTTTTTCCATAAACCCCACTATCAGACAGCTGGGTTCATCAAATAGATGAATGTACAATGGTAGAGGTAAAGCTAAGGGCGTCTATGTTACACAACTACGTGAGGGGCTCCGTAGATATGTCTTACATGCTTAACACAACTCTGCTGCAGTTACACAATGACATTGTACATAAACATGTGCAAGCATGGAAAGAGCACCTCACATCTGGTGAGTTAAATTGGAAAAAACTAAGTAAAAAACTTAATAAGCAGAATTAGGGATTAGAAAACAATAATAAATCATTTTACAGACAGAAAATGAACAAAGGGACACAAAACACAAGTGAAATGATGAATTGGTTTAGACATAAAGCAGACAAGTGACCGTAATGAAGACCATAAAATACAGAAGCACATCAGGAGCTAATATGAAGCTATGCTGAATTAGATGATGCATAATGCAGCTGAATTCAGCCATATTTAATAATAATAATATGGATACATACAGCCTTTGGAGGGTGAATACACCAAGGATAAATGTACGAGTAACTGTGAAACATGGCTGATAAAAACAAAAGATTATAAATAATATTTTGATGCATTTTTGACACTAAATCCCTAATCGAGTACTCATTCATATGGATAAATAGATGCAAGTGTTCCATTTTTGGTTCTTTGTTTAAACACAGGAAAGGTGTTGCAAGCGTTGCTTGACTTTACCAATAATATTGATGGGAATATGAGGTTGAGTGACAACACAGACATTCAACAGTGTTTGATTAATGATACAAACAAATCTGCAACACCTTGCAGACAACAGACACGTGTATGTGTGAGAAGTTTACACGAGATCAGAAATCTGTGGTGAAATAAATGTGAGAAATGGTTTCAGGCTCAGTTCTGCACAGCTTTTCCTGTCTAATTTTAATAAAAATCAGAGTGTAAAAATGTTATATTCACCCGACCGTCCACGTGTTTCCTTCTGCATGATTCAGACTGAAACGGTGCTGCAGTGAGGAAAAAAAAGAGTAAGGGTGTTTGTGTGCTGTGTGCCTGAGTGTGCACGCCTTTAGTACTGAATGTGCAAAGAAAGGTAAAGGTGTCTGTCCAGATGGCTTGGGTCATCTGCATTTCTCTTCCAGGAGCTCAAATCAGGATCCAGATCAAAAATCATCCTCTCTACTTCTTAAAGATATGAATATAATAATACTTTATTACTCATTGTCCTTGACCCTAAGAATGCCATATCCCCCAAAAAACAAACAAATAACATAAAATATCAAAAAACATTGAATAGGTCTGACAAACTGCAACATCACATAAGAAGTAGAATTAACCCAAAGTACAACAGAGGTTGTATAAACATTGTGCTTCTTTAATTTCACTTAGTAAAGTCATTCACTGTCCTTGTAAAGTTTAGTTTAAACTTTGTTATATTTAATATATATATATGTATATATATATATATATATATATATATGTATATAGAGAGATAAATGTACACGTATAATCCGCGCTGAGGTTCGTCTTTTTGTGGCAAGCAGAGACGCTACTAGGGGCCCCCAGCTTTGATTATCCTCTCCAAATGTGTCCATTTCTTAGTCATTTATTTGTTTGACACTCGATTGGGTTCTTCATTCCCGTTTGCCATTCCGTAGTTTCGCACATCCCAAAGTTTGGGGCAAAGACGTCGTAGTCTTTGTGTGGAAAAAAAAGTGTCCTCTCCTTAACGGTTTTCTCTCTCGATCCCGCTTCCTATTCAGCATCCACATTCCTTCATGTTATTCCCTCAGATTCCCTGTGATCTTTGGTAGAGTGTCCGACACTTTGGTGTGTCTGAGGAACTGGGTGAAGAGGCCGTGGGAAAGAGCAGTTCAAGGGTGCGCACGTGGACGATAAAGGTAGATGAGGAAGAGGAAAAGGCAACAGAGTGACACCGACATGAGTGAGGCCATTCTAATAGAGATGAAGGAGAAAGTTTCAAGTGTCACTGATCGTTGAGTGCGTCAGCCTTAAATACAGAGAGTCAGGTAAATATGCAATATGTGTGAAACACTAAAGTATTTAGAGAAGGCTGGGGACAGAAGTAGACAAAGACTTTGTGCTGTCTAAGCTAGAAGAATGAAACTGATGTAGGACGGTGTGAGAGTAAACGAAGAAGTTAGACATGTGAAGACAGAGTAGGACGGGAGGGAGGGGTAAAAAGTGCGAGTTTGGGCAGTGTCTGTTATCACAGACAGACAGTGGTGCTGTGGAAGGTGCTCATCATCTGTAGAGAAGTGAGAGACAGCAGGAGAAGCCAAAGGTCAGCCACCTGGTCAGTGGGAGTGAACTTGATCCTCCAATGAGAACTATAGAAAATACAATTAGAAAAGAGCCAGATTAGAGTGGATTACACACATAACTAGCAGCAAAACAATGTGATAGTGTCAAAATGACTTCCCATTAAATCAATAAATCAATAAATGTGAGATATCAATTATGGGTCTATCCCCCACCCCCCACCCCAATGCCAAAAATTGCAGTTCCACCTTCATCCACTAGGGGCTGGCACAAGAAGTGAGCAAATCCTCATCAACTCCAATGTTAAAAATGTCATTTTCACAGCAGAAAAAAAAGCATGTTTACAGCCTAGTTTAAAAAAAAACATTTAAAGTTTAATAGAACTAGTTTATTTTCATGGCAACTTGGGGTGGGGTAACTTCTCCCTCCAAGTGTACTTAAATGCTTGAAATTATGAATAATTAATGAGCATCAGAGCCATGAGCTAGCACTAGGAAAAGGCCTCAGTCTGGGCCTCACGTTAATAGATGTTCAGCCATTTCTGCTCTCTGAACCTTAGTTGTGTTCTCTGTGTTCGTGTCTGGATGTTAATCATGGGATTATTTGGACAAAGAGGACAAACTGTGCTACTGACTGCACTAACAGATCATCCAAGAAGTCTCTGCTTCATTTTTATCAGTAAGTAAAAATTTATTTTGCTGTGCTGTGCACTGCTTGGTCAAAGATTGGTTGAAATATAACGTGTTGGTGGGGCTGGCTGGCTGACTGGGGACTGAGGCTAGAGGCTTCAGGGCTTTGCTGGTCCACAGCGGTCAAAGGGTTGTGAGGTTGCTGCTGCAGAGAGGTTTGCCTAGTTTCTGTAACATGCCTCTCCCTTTACATAGCAGTCCTGCGATCAGATCCGCTGCTTCATTATTGCGGAGGAAGCCCAGCTAGGCAGTCGCCAGGCCACTACTGTCTCTCAGACGGGAACAGCTGCTACACGCAGGAGGCCACATGCTTCCATCTCCTGAGAGGGTGGAAGCCACGCAGGTCTGCTACACCGGAACCCCTTCTTAGCTTCTTGGGTTAGCTAAGTTAGCTAGTAGCTACATTGGTTTATTTGTTCCAATCTGTTTTAACCGTAACAGCCCCACCCTCAGCTCCACCTCTTTTCCCGTTTTTGGATTATCTGGGTGTGACGAGATGTGCAACATGGTCAAAATGGCAGTGGTGGGAACCTTCCATTTTCTCAAAAAAAATGTGTAACTCGAGCCTAGGTACATTATTTATCCAGTATATATGTGGATGTTCTATCCCAGAAAATACCAAGGCCTTTCCACTAAATGTGTAAGTGATTTGTAACGTAATACACACATTCTACCCATGAGCTCCCTTCCCTCTGGGAACCTTTCAGATGCAAAAAGCAGCTGGTTCTGCGAGGCCCTGCAAAACCTCACCTAATTTTTTCCCCCCATGATAACAAGCAAGGAGAATGATGCAGGATGTATGCAAAAAGGGCTGTGGTTTATTTGTTGTTCTGGTAACTTTGCTAATTGGAGACTTATAATGGTGGCTAATTGCTGGTGGAACGGTCCGGTAAGAACATGGGTTCTATTCCATATAGGCTCCGCCCTTTACGGCTGCCAGTGGATAACATTGTCTGTGGCTCATAATTTAATCCAATGGCAGCCTCAAAGGGCGGAGCCTATACTCATTGAATCTGGGATTACATTATGTTACCATAGATTTTGCATCTTGGGAATAGCAGTTTTTTTAAGTGTTTTAATGAACAAACTGCAGTCGTGTTGCAAATTATTCTAATTTCACTTACAATTTAGCTATCAGCGTCTCTCCAAGTACATTTTTCTAATTTTCTGATAATGAGAATTAAACGGAGATGTGTTTCAGATGTGTGCAATAACTTTGTGACTATTTTAGAAAAAATCTCATGTCTGTTTAACAGAAGGATATTATTTAATTTTATTTGTTTAAGTATTTGGCAAATTGTGTTGGTTTTTTACACAGATACAGTACACACATAACCGGTGTGAATTTAAAGTCTGTTTTGTTCATAAAGTTGTTTCTTGAAGATAAAATCTTCAAAAAACAATAACATTTCTTATGTATTTACAATAAGCATTGCACGCGCACACACACACACACACACACACACACACACGCACAAACACACACACACACACACACAGTTTCTGCTTCCATAAATAAATTAAAAAGGTTTCCTACTCCAACTTTCATAAAAAGTTGGTAGTGCATTAAAAAGATCAATATGATTTCATAACAACTGTCCATTCTTCAGACACAAAATCTATATCTATAATAAAGTTTAGATCTATGTTCAACACACACACACACACACACACACACACACACACACATTCCTGTAGCACAATATCTGGATGACAAATTGAAGTGGAACATGCGTTCCTGATGGGCTCATTGGATTTTCTGGATTATAATCTTTGGGTTTTGTTGAATCTTTTCATTTTATATATATATATATATATATATATATATATATATATATATATATATATATATATATATATATATATATATATATATATATATATATATTTGTAACTGATACCAAGTAATATAAATAGTTTTTAGCCGATTTAGTTTGAACTTGAATTTTTTTATTTTTGGTTGCTTTGAGTCTTGAGATAACTGTGTTTCCTTTGAGCTTTTTTGTTTCATGATTTAACTTTTTTTCCCTCGCAGACACACGAATTGAGCTGCTTATTAGCGCTATGAAATGGTATAATTTTTGAAAAGGATGATTACTGTGGATAAATTCATAATGATTAATTGTGTTATTACAGTATATCTAAAACGTGCAAAGACCTCTCAAAGACAGAAATTATTCCACAGCAGAAAATTCCCAGCTGTCTAATTGTATAATAACAAATCCTTTTTTCATGGGTAGTGGGAAATGTTTAACACTGAATTTGACACATGTTATTGTAGTGTACCAATTTGCCAAATATTTCATCAAATGAAGAGAAGTTAACTTTTACCTTACAGGCCAAATTCTTCATACAGGTCAATCTGACACCGTGGTGCCGATATGAAGGATAAACTGGAGCAAATATTCCTAATTAATCCTGCGTACGTCATGAAACCTCAAGGCTGCAAAACACGCAGGACTTCTTATCTATCCTCTTTGAATGAAGCTTGTCTTCCCTGGCTCATAAATGACTTTATAATTTTATAAGCTTTATATAATCATATTTTGTTGAATGGACAATATATTTCAATCCAAAGGGTTTCAATAATATATTAAATTATGATGGGTTAACATGGATATTTTTCCTGTAATGATTTATTTCACATCTTAAATTATACCAGATTAGTAAGAATGTGATATTAATTCATCAGTATATTCACACATCAATATATTATCATTAATGGCTAAAACATTTGTGCTTCACATAACTAACATTTTGAATTCACACTAAGAAATAACTCTGGGAGTTGGGAGCTGGGAGGCCTGGGGATGGACTGTCCGATCTCGGGGGCAGAAGTTGCTGAGGTAGTCAAACAACTACACAGCGGCGGAGCCCCGGGGGCGGATGAGGTTCGTCCTGGGTATCTCAAGGCTATGGATGTTGTAGGGCTGTCATGGTTGACACGTCTCTACAACATTGCGTGGTCATCGGGGGCAGTTCCTAGGGAGTGGCAGACCGGGGTGGTGGTCCCCATCTTTAAGAAGGGTGACCTGAGGGTGTGTTCCAACTATAGGGGGATCACACTCCTCAGCCTCCCTGGAAAGGTCTACGCCAAGGTACTGGAGAGGAGGGTCCGATCGATAGTTGAATCTCAGATAGAGGAGGAGCAATGTGGTTTTCGTCCTGGCCGTGGAACTGTGGACCAGCTCTATACCCTTGCAAGGGTGATGGAGGGGGCATGGGAGTTTGCCCAAGCAATCCACATGTGCTTTGTGGATTTGGAGAAGGCTTATGACCGTGTCCCCAGGGGCATCCTGTGGGGGACGCTCCAGGAGTATGGGGTGGGTGGCTTTCTGTTAAGGGCCATTCAGTCCCTTTACCAGAGGAGCGTGAGTTTGGTCCGCATAGCCAGTAGTAAGTCGGACCTGTTCCCAGTGAGGGTTGGACTCCGCCAGGGCTGCCCTTTGTCACCGGTTCTGTTCATCACTTTTATGGACAGAATTTCTAGACGCAGCCGTGGTGTGGAGTGTGTCGAGTTTGGTGGCAGGAGAATCTCATCTCTGCTTTTTGCGGATTATGTGGTCCTCCTAGCTTCATCCAGCTCTGACCTTCAGCTCTTGCTGGGTAGGTTCGCGGCCAAATGTGAAGCGGCTGGGATGAGGATTAGCACCTCCAAATCTGAGACCATGGTTCTCGACCGGAAAAGGGTGGCTTGCCACCTCCGGGTCGGGGGAGAGGTCCTACCTCAAGTGGAGGAGTTTAAGTATCTCGGGGTCTTGTTCACGAGTGAGGGTAGGAGGGATCGGGAGATCGACAGGCGGATTGGTTCGGCGTCTGCAGTGATGCGGACGCTGAGCCGATCTGTCGTGGGGAAGAGGGAGCTGAGCCAGAAAGCCAGGCTCTCGATTTACCGGTCGATCTACGTCCCAATCCTCACCTATGGTCATGAGCTTTGGGTAATGACCGAAAGAACGAGATCGCGGATACAAGCGGCCGAAATGAGTTTCCTCCGTAGGGTGGCCGGGCTCAGCCTTAGAGATAGGGTGAGGAGCTCGGACATTCGGGAGGGACTCGGAGTAGAACCGCTGCTCCTCCAGATCGAAAGGAGCCAGTTGAGGTGGTTTGGGCATCTGGTCAGGATGCCTCCTGGACGCCTCCCCGGGGAGGTGTTTCGGGCATGTCCTGCCGGCAGAAGGCTCCCGGGTCGACCCAGGACACGTTGGAGAGGTTACATCTCCAATCTGGTCCGGGAACGCCTTGGGGTCCTGCCGGAGGAGCTGGTGGACAAGGCCGGGGAGAGGACGGCCTGGAGCTCCCTAATTGGGATGCTGCCCCCGCGACCCGGACCCGGATAAGCGGAGGAAGACGAAGACGAAGACGAAGACTAAGAAATAACC